ACACGCGTAAAAACGATTGGCCGTTTTCGAAATATAGACAATGTTTCAATTGCCCCTTGTTACTTTTGCCTCCGGTTACCCTATGTCCTGCTGCTGCTCGCATTCACTGACATTTGTCCATGCCCCGTCCGAAGCACGATGGAAACAAGGCACTGAGAGTTCTACCTAGTAGTACTTCCGAGATTTTTTCAATACAGTTCCTTTTAAAGGACTGAAATAAAATTCCCTTAACAATCATATTTAAAACGAATATGGAGATAAATTCATCAAGCGAATAATTTTATACACTAAACATGCACCAAACAGTGTTTCGAAAAGTAATGGAATGTCACATTACTTTCCCGTAATACTTATTTTTGATATAAGTGCGGAAAGTTAGTCATTATTCACGAATCTCGAGGCTTCTTGGCCCGAGCCAGAGGCGAGGGTCAAGACGCGAGACAAGTGAAAATGACAAATCCGCACGACAAAAACGACGTTTTTTAATACATTTGCGAAAAAACTACATTGAAAGTGAAATAAAACAGTATTTAAACAAAACTCATTTTCTGCTAGTAAATTAAAATAATGAAATACAACCACTGCAACCATTAGTTAAAAGTCTATGGAAATCTAGTTCTAACGTGCTGTTTTTGTTTATTTTCTGTAATATCGGTTTGTAACCACTTTTCTTATTATGAAGTCCTGGTACTTTTGTTTAAACTTCTTTAGGAACCCGTGCACGGTAGTGAATCTCGCCTGTCACTCATTCAGGGGTAGGCAGAGACTGTGGACCTCCACTCGATATGTTCATTATATAGTATTTGTAAATAAATATAAGTTTTAATGACGAATGACTTATGTACGTCACAAAGCACATAAATATTAAATAAATATACAACTTCTTTAGTTCTATGCTTAAGACTTAAAACAACAGTAAATTAAAAAAAACTGGAAAAGTAAAAAGCACTAGTGCGAGAAATCCAACTTTCCGCACGATTTGTAGTGCGAAAAATACCAGGTTTTGAGCAACTGTATTAAAAAAGTAATATTACAGTGTGGTATCACTAAATCTATGGATATCACAATCACTCACATAAAAGTGTTATATGCATTATCTCTGTACTCTATGCTTGCCTATAATGTCTTCGTGCTTCTATCAATAGGTGTATTTAGTAAAGCTTTAAAATTGTCAATCGTTCATATTTTTTTAACTAATGTGGATAGGATACGCATACCTTTAATTCGTGAAAGTAGCAATTACTGGTAATACATACTTTTGGAAAACCAACAACCATCCATGTGATCCTCTGTGACCGTACCACCTATAAGTACTCGGTTGCAGTAGTACAAAATAATTGGTACCTAAAGTCTACTTTCCTAGACATACACACATCAAAAAAAGTTTGCGATCACTTCGAAAAACTGAAATCTTTTTTGTTACTGTAGATTATATTATGATTTTTTCTTCTTTTTAGATTCTTTATTTAAAAATAAATTAGAACATAAAACAATGACCCCGTTCAATTGTTTTTTCATATAAAAAGGCTTTCAGTCCTAGCTTACGCTCATTCAGAAATCTGATTTAGTCAATTATAAGCGATTCAAGATATTTTTCGCGGAAAGTTGTGATTGAAAAAATGCCAAGAGGATTATCAGAGGTTTTACGAGCTAGAATAGTAACTTTGAGGGAAGAAGGATACACCACGAGAGTAATAAATAGCACGCAGACTTGCTATATCCCAATCTTGTGTCGTGGCTACGTTGCAGAGGTATCACGGAATGGGGAATTTAGCTGACCGACCCCGCAGCGGTCGCCCAACTTTTTTGACAGCTGCCCAAAAGCGCTATATTAGATTGCTGGCAGCCCGTGATCCAACAATCAACGCCACTAAAATAAAAGCAGAAGTCAGGGCCGCCTCTGGGCTTGAAGTTAGCACGCAGACCGTTCGCAATTGCTTGCACCAGGCTGGATTACGAGCACGGAGGTCTTGGCGAGCTCCGCTCAATTCCCGGCAACGTCAACAACGAAGATTGCAGTGGGCTAGACTTCGGCAAAATGAAGAAGGTGAGGACGAAAACATTTGGCAAAACTGTCTCTTCGTTGACGAATCCCGAATCAGCACTCATCCAGATAACCGACGTGTCCGTGTCTGGAGAAGACCAGGCGACCGTGAAAGACAAAGATCTGCCACTGGAACAGTTCAGCAAGGCGGAAAATCGGTGTCCTTTTGGGGTGGCATTATGATTGGAGCTAGAACGCCTTTGATCCCGTATCGGGGCTTCATGACAGCAGACATGTACAAAGCAGTTGCTATTGATGATATCATCAGACCATTCCGAGTAAACCATGGGCACCAATTTGTACTGGTCGATGATAATGCGCCCGCACATCGAGCTCAACGAGTCAATGCTGCTCTTCAAGAATACGATATCACACGATTAGACTGGCCTGCCGGCTCGCCCGACTTAAACCCAATAGAGCACGCGTGGGAAGCTCTTAAACGAGCAGTATGGAACCGTGAGCCACGTCCCCAGACAGTTCCAGAGCTCAGGGAAGCCGCTATTGAAGAATGGGATAGGTTACCCCAGGAAATGCTGGATAACTTGATCCTCAGCATGCCCAGGAGGATCTTCGCGTGTATTCGAACCAAGGGAGGAGTTATTTTATATTGAATTCACACCTTTTAATAATAAATTGTTGTTTAAGTTTAATTAAACAGTCTTTTTCTTTCTATGAAATTTCTATCACTATTACATTATGATTAATGGCTGAATTTTTTAAAATAAATAATAAAAAATAGTTTTATATTTTAATTTCAAACAGGGTATTCCTATTTAAAGAAAGTATACAACATAGATTTTTTCTTGATAAAGTTAAATATAAAGAATTATAGGAGCTTATGCTATTGATCGCAAACTTTTTTTGATGTGTGTACAACAAAATTAATAGTACCTCTATAGATTACGAAATATTTAACTACTTGAGTGGTCCGGCCGCAAAGCAGTACTCTCGCACCGCGCCGCCTTGTATTTACAAGAACTTGATGTACTCTCAAGAAAGCAATATTCCCAAAAAGACGGACCTAAAGTCTACTTTCCTAGACATACAACAAAATTAATAATACCTCGATAGATTACGGCTGATATCAGAATGGCTGGTCAATTATTTTTTTAAATATCTCAGAATATATCAAGGGTAGCAATTGTGTAGAAAAGGTAGCAAATAGGGACATAGCAATTCTTGAATATACACTCAGTGCCAGACGCCACAGGCGACTAGCCATCCTGACGGTCACAAATTATTTACATACACAGTTAGATACTTTATTCTTAATTAACTTTTTATTGAATTGATATTCAATTATTTTTTGTGAAATTACTCCACTAGTTTGTTATAATTATTAATACAAAGATCGAACACTCAGAAAAAACACTCAGAAAAATTCCTTCGATCCGGTCGGATTCGAACCGACGGACGTCTTCTTGCATACCGTGCCAGACGCTATACCAACTAAGCCACGGAACGAACCTCACGACCTCACGAATTCTTCTATGTGCTTGCGTCGTGTCTTTGTACTTGGTCTTTCAACGACTTTGTGTGTGTGACTCTGAGTGTTTTGTCTGAGTGTTCGATCTTTGTATTAATAATTATTTTATTCTTATTATTCGTTACTTTTATTTTAGCCTGTTTTCAGGGTTTTATATGATCGGATAAAGTACAACCTATCGTGTAACGAATTAGCACGTTCTTTAGACAATATCCTTGTGTATCGTATATTTTTGTACGACCGTTATTTATTAGTACATACATAATCTTTTTCCCGCTTCTCCGGTGACGAAGTAACGCGTGTTATTAAAAGAATTTATGTAATTTCTAGAGGAATAGTGCAACTGAAACATCGAGTATACTTATAACCAGAAACAGAAACAGAGACGAAATGAACAACTTCTGCTATATCATTACGGTGACAACTGCGCTCCGATTGGTCAGCCCGAATTCGAAACAATTGACGCATAGATTTAGTATATACAATTGACGGGTGTCGTCAATTGTTTCACTACAAATCGACTAGTTTAGCTTGAGCTTTCCTATAATGGACGAAAATTTAAAAGTTACACATTTAATTATCGATAAAATGTGATTGTTTTGTAATTAGATGTGTTGCTGTTTTTCCCACTCCCTCGGATAGAACAGCCCCCTATAGAGTTAGATATCTTTATTGCAATAAATACAGAATAATTTTGGAATATACGGAGACGTACACAGGTCAGTTGTTGGCGCTGTAAACATTTCAGCTTTGTAATTTGTGATTTCAGTGCAAACGAGAGTTGATATGTAAAAGTGACATAAGACCCATTAACTAAAAAAATTGCCAAGGATGGACGACCTTTATTTCATCTCTATTTCCTGTTATATACTCGATGAACTGAAAGAACAGCGTGCGTAAAAAAAGCCTTTCTGTTCAGTGTTGCCTCGTCTCGCTTCGCCTGTGAAAAACCACCTTATAGTGCTTAAAAACCACCTTATAGTGCTTAATTCTCCAAAGTGTAGTGTTTGATATTATTATACATTACACTGCTGCGTGACAATTGTAAAGTCAATGCTTACAATATTTCTAATGAAGAAGCGTTTAGAATTTTGTCCTTGAGATGTGTGCATATTTTTAAATTTGGATTTTAGACAAATTAGGCGAACTTTTCCCATGAAATTTACGGTCAACGGCTAGAGTCATTCAGTTTAGAGGTATAATGACTTGAGGAATGAAAATACGAAACCATTATTTTTGTCTTTTAATAAAGATTTTACAAATATTTAAAAAATATAGCATTCCGAAAGTATTTCTTTTTATATGATAATATTTTAGTGTTTTAAAAAAATCTGCAACATCCAATCCAGATACATCATTACTTGGGCTGTTTTTTTCCAAGAGTTAATTAACAGCCTGTTTATTTTGAAAAGTTTCCTCGGGTGAAAATTTCGGTGTTTAAGACCGTAGAGCATCAATGGATACTTTATCGGGAATGTGTTTTTGTTATCATATATCAACTGGTGCTGCTATTGTCTGTGGTGGTGGTGGTAGTGGTAGAAGAAGATTCAGCGGTAACGTCATCACAACGGGGAGGCAGGATGATCTGCAGCTCTTCGTGGAGTATCACTTCGTCTTCGAGAACGATGTCATCCGGCACGTGAGTGTCGAACTCTTCATTGGTTTGCCCAGCACTGGGAATATAATGAATTGCAATTAATCGATAGATAATTCCTATTGTCGACTGTGATATATACAGGGTTATTTTTAAAATACTTACAACATTGCAGGACTGAGGTAGTGGAACCGATGATGGACAGTGCACCAGTCATGAACATTTTTGAACTATACCGCCAAAATAAGAAAATGCAATTTTCTTTTTGACTTTCAAAATTGTTTACCATTTTTGATCAAAATAGGAGACATTAGTTAAGTTTTGACAGCTGGCGACCATCTTTATTCGCCTTTATCGCGGTGCGAAATAAGACGGTGATAACAAATTTGATATAAAACGGATTTCTTACTAGGACCGTGTAAGGTAGTCTCGGGTATGTTTTTTATAATCAAATTTGAATGTGGTATTTACGAGTTTGGTGACTTCTGTGGTTATTTTGTGTTTTGGTATTGCTTTAAGCACCTAAACAAAACATAACCGTAAAAGAATGATATAACGTCTATTGGAAAATTTGAAGTGTTTATTACTGGATCTCATTTAGCTATTTACCCAATCATTTTTGTCCATAGGTAGGGAACCATAAAATTTTTGATGTAAATTTTTTAGTAAAGCGTGGGTTGTCCATAGAAATGAATAAAATTGATTAAAATGTTGTTTAGTGTTGATCGACTCAGACTCATGAATGGATCGTATCATTGTATGGGACGAAAAAATCGGGACGGCAGAAGTTGATCAAATTACATAAAATATTTTTCATTCAAAATAAATAAAATTGATTATTTTTTTTTAATGCTAATAGACTCAGTTTCTTAAAAGAATGTTTTCATTGTACCGGAAGATCAAAATCGGGACAGCAAACATTTTAATTGGTCAAATTTAAAAAAAAAATTTCATACACGATGAATAACATTTTATTAAATTTCATCTTCTACCGACTTCTGCTGTCCCGATTTTCTTTGTCTCATACAATGAAATGATTCCGTCATGAAACTGAGTTGTTTCGTACTAAAATGATTTTGATCAATTTTATTTACAACTCACGCTTGACCAAAAAATTGACTATGCCAAAATTGTTTTCACAAAAAAAGACGACTTTGTGGTGCTTAAGATAGTTTCCTTGTATCTTCTATGGTTACGGATTTCCCCATACTGACCCTTTTTAATAAACACTGTATTTTAATAAAATAATTTCCGTATATATAACGTTGTCCTTTTTTTTGTAATATTGATCGATATAAGAATTTCCTACGTGGGTTTGTAATGATGATTTTTCTTATCCGAATACAAAGATTTTTTAAGAAATATTTCGTCTGTGTTGTCGAAGTAGCTGTCTGAGTAAAATCATGTCGATGTAACATATTGTCGGAGTAGCGTTGTGTCTGAGTAAAGTTATGTCGAAATAACATATTGTCGAAGTCATGTCGATGTAACATATTGTCGGAGTAGCGTTGTGTCTGAGTAAAGTCATGTAGATGTAACATATTGTCGGAGTAGCGCGTGTCGAAGTTCAATTTTAGAATCCATTAATGGATTTGATTTTTTTAGACATGGCACTGAAGCGAATTGTTAATTGTTACCATGGGTTATATGAAACGTCAATTCGTTTAAAAATAAGTTTAAGTACCATACAAGATATCGTTTTCGAAGATTAAATTTGTTAATTTGGCTAAATAGTTGATCGTTCATGTTTAGGTGTCCATGATTGTAAACCGTCCATGACGGGGTGTCCATGATTGAAAACCGTCCATGACGGGGTGTCCATAATTGGAAATTGGGCTGTCCATATAAGGATACTCAAAGTGTAATTTTTCTCAAATAACAATGTTTTCTTTATTAATTGATATGACTAAAGCACATTCAATAGTTATTTGAAGACTTTTTAATCAATTAAACCTTTTCTCGAGTACCATAGGACAACTCATCCAAAATTAAAAGTATAAAACAAAAAATTATAAGCCGTCCAGATTGATTCCACTACCTTATATTACTAACATCACAAGCAACAACTCTTGTTCCATGACTTTCATTAATTCATCAGATTTTACATTCATACAAAAATAAATAGATTTAAATAGATCACTATAAACGGTAATAACTCTGTGCAGGACGGGGGTGGGAGTCAAGTTCCGTATACTAACTAGGGGATGAATCCGGGTTTTGCGCACCACTTTCCGGAACTTGATACAGGAGATAATGAAAATCGGTTCTCACTACACAAAGTATATTGAGAGAGAAAAACGCCTTGAATTGGAGGATAGCAAAATCAACCATTCCAATAATAGCTCCTTATAATAAAATTTAGGCGCTATTTATAAAAATGAATCTTCATGCGTGAACAGCCACCTCTAAGGGTGGCTGGATGATTTTCTGATGGGTACGGTGGATGATTTTCTTCAAAATTAAATGAGACCACTATGAAGGTACCCTCTTTCCAACAAAAAAAGAATCATCAAAATCGGTTCACAAATACCGGAGTTATCGCGTAACATACCTACATACAAAAAAAATCATACAGTCGAATTGAGAACCTCCTCCTTTTTGTGAAGTCGGTAAAAAATGAGACCAAAGAAAAGTACAGCAGAAATCACTTTTTACTAGTGACATAAGCACGTCTTCTCTTTGTCGATACCACGGGCTGATAATGATAATGGGTACCTTGGCGATCACGGGCTTAAACTACGCTGGCGCAGGGCTGGTAATATACATAGTATAATGTGTTGTTTAATAAGTTCTATGTATATGTATTTGTAAATGTTTATATCTAGCACCTCAGCTTTTATTCATGTTTAGTCTGAAAGAAATCGCTGTAAGCGATAAGATCGCCAATTGTTACCCTGCTAATGTGTTTAATGTTTGTCCTGTAATCTCTCTTTGTATGTGGTTCTAACAATAAAGAATTTTCTATCTATCTATGTATAAAAACAGAACAGGTTCAAAAATTAAATTGGCGTAGTGTTCATTAGAGGAACCTATTCGTCCTGCGAGGTTGTTAGTATTTAAAAAATAACCCTATATAATTAACAAAATTGAAACCGTCCGTTCTACGTAGAAATCGCAGGTATAAGCGCCTTCAAATTAGACGCTAGTAGAAGCGCTGCAGCGCAGTGGCGCGACTTTGCCGCTTCACCTTGTATCAAGTACCAGTCAAATACATTTGTCGCTGTAGACACCGCAGTATGCAGTTTCTAATTAATATAAATGTAGCACTTCTACATGCGTCTAATTTGAAGGCGCTCTAAAGCCTTAACTACTTAATTCCACGTATTCAATTATTGTTATTAATGAAACTTATACAAACTCCAGTTGGTCTCCAGCGCGGGCGCCGGCTAATACGGAAGTATACAACCGGGCTCGAGCGCCATGGAGCCGCATGCCGGCTGGTACGTCCTCCACGCCAGATTGCGTCTCGGAAATGGGATGCAAAGATACTCCATTGCCTAGAAACAGACAACAAGCATTATCGCACCACCCTGATTGGTTTACGAAGATATTCCTCGCAATAGAACCACAGTTATTGTCCGGTTTAGTAATCTGATACCTTACACAAAATATGGTTAGTGTTCAAAGATACTGCAGACTGTACAATAAAGGACCGATTGTATTTCAGCCAATGATCAAACAATAAGTACCTACCAGTGTTTCTATGACTTTACCAATGACAGTTTGCGTTAGCAACCGTTTAAAATATTTGATAATTATGAATAACAAATACTATTGCGCGCGCAGCGTTCACAAGAACTAACATTTATATACAAATATTTAACATGGTCACCAGTCCTTCGGACAAGTTATGCCGTGGAATTATACCATTAATAGTATAATTGGTAAGCGGAAGCCTGGACGTTTAAAGCCGCTGACAGGCAAAGAATTGACGCCTATGAGATGTAGTGTTGGCGTCGCCTATTAAGAGGGAGCATGCCAAAAAAGTTTTGACGTTCGCTCCGTCCAAATTTGTGGAACAATGCCTGAAGTTCGCGTGACATGCAACAGGAGATGTTGAATTTTGCGCATTAAAAGTACCAAATTCGTTTTACCGTAATAACTCTAAAACTAAAGGAATTAAAAAAAAATCAGTAGTGACAGTTGTCGATCATGCATAAATATAATTAATTATCTAATTTTTGTCCTAATAACCTGTTTCGAGGATAAATCGAAAAAATGTAAAAATTCGTTCGGTCATTTCGTGATTTTTATCTATCGAGGAAACTTTATTGTTTTGTGTTTCTGATTAATGTCTATGCTTGAATATATCGTGTAGTTACTCATACAATATTTTATTTTTAACTTTAAAATGGATATACCCCTCTAAAATCAAATCGTAGATTAGGAATTTTTCCTCTGCTCCCTCTTAAGGATTCCCTGGACTGCACATCGTACGAACGTATTTGTGCTTGAGGAGTTGCAGTTGCAAAATCACAAACGCTTATCCTCCGCCTGTTTGCTCCGCATTCTGTAATTCTTTGGTCAAGAGGAGGAGGAGGAGTAGTTCGACTTATCGGAACTTACTCTGACGATGCATAGCTGAATTATCATTAAACAATTTCAATATTCTAAAACTGGGTTATGGTTTTTATGACATCTCAAAAAAATATTTTTTCAGTAAGCCGCGTTTTAGTCAGCGGACGGAAGAACCGTGTAACATACACAAAATAAAATACAGTTGTATTGAGAACCCCTACTTTTAGTCGGTTAAAGATTGTTGCGATTGGTCATTCATTATATTTTGGAAATTAAACAATTTTTTCAGATTTAAGTAGCATAGCACAATACCTACAGCCTACAGGCGAATGCTCACCAGTGAGGTTAGCAGTAATGGTAATGCTCGAAAATGAATCTTGAATGTTACTCTTACAGGCGAATATTCGCGGCGAGGGAGCTTACAATACTAATTGTCACTCGCGACCGTTGCGAAACGTTGATTTGTTTGAAACAAAAAAACAAATAAACACGATGTGGATCCGAAAAAATAGTTTCATTTCCAAACGTGTAGCCATCGCGGAAACTTAAGATATTTGATTTGTGGATTTTCTTTGCACAAGTTTATTGTGATTATGAGTAGGTACGATCACCAGCGGAAGTATGGTCGAACTATTTGTTACACTTTGTTTTAGCTATACAGTGTGTAATATAAATCTTCTTAGTATAGGAGACAACGACTTAAGCCGCGTGCGTTTAACGGCTCTCTGCGATCTTTCCCAGAGGGGTGCGATTCGTAAGATATAGCAATAAATGACATATTTTTGGGCGATATAACGCACAATTGATATAATTAATTTATGGTATCCAGATTTTTGACATGTTCTTGCATGATTAAATTTGGGTATAATATATATTTATAGATATAGCTACAAGGAACGTCATATAGTTATTAAGACCACCAAATGTTAATTAATTACTGTTTTGAATTCGAATTACGGATGAATTTTCTGCATCGTAGGTCAAAACTACTGAACTAGGAAGTCGAAGTTAGATTTTAAAGTAATTCTAATGGTGCTATGTAAAAATGCAGTAGGATACTGACCTTATAACAAAGCAGAGAATAAAAAAGTAACGAGGATGGTCACTCTCCGCCCCTCCCGAGATATAGATACCGTACTGCGTCCCGCATATTGACGGTCACATTGACGGAACGGCGACATTTGGTAGTAGAACTTAAGAAAAAAAATCATTTAAAATTTTGTTTACGAGGGGAATTTTGGGTCATTTTAGTTTGCATGAGAATAGTTGCGATCGCGCTCTAAAACACACTAGGTATAACAAATATTCATACATTCGAACTATTAGCAGGAATGTAGTATATTAAAAGGAAAATGTTCACACTAGATTATTTTAATAATAGGGGTTAAAGTATGAAATTGCCGATTTGTACTGAAAATCTAAATTGTTTATTTATTAAATTTTTAACAAATTTATTTAATCAAAATAGTTGCCATTATTATCTATACATTGCTGCCATCTAATGGGAAGGTTATTAATGCCTTTGCGATAGAACTCCGACGATCTAGACTGCACAAACTGTGTGAAAGCATTTTGTACTGCCTCCTGGGAAGAAAACTTCTTGTCACGTAGATAATTGTCCAAATCACGAAAAAAATGGTAGTCCGTTGGAGCAAGGTCTGGTGAATACGGAGGATGACGAATGGTTTCTAACTGCAGTTCCAGAAGGGTCAAAATGGTTTCTCGTGCTGTGTGAGGTCTCGCGTTGTCGTGGGGCAATAATGGTGAAGATCGATTCATGAGTCGGGGCTGTTTTACTGCTAGTTTTGTCAACATGGTTCGGAGTTCGGCACAATAGACATCTGCCGTTATTGCTTGACCAGATCGGAGAAAACTATAGTGAATAACACCATGCTGAGACCACCAAACAGTTACCATTACCTTTTTATTGGTAAGTTTTGCTTTAGGACACTGTTGTGGCATTTGACCTGGGGTCAGCCATTGCATTTTTCTTTTCCGGTTATCATAAAGAATCCACTTTTCATCACATGTTACAATTCGATCCAATATTCCTTCATTTCTGTACCGGTTCAACAAGGCAACACAAGTTTCAACACGCGTTTCTTTCTGCAGATCAGTCAAATCATGAGGCACCCATTTTTCGTATTTTTTTATTTTATTGATTTGACGCAAGTGAGTCAATATTGTGGGTAAGGTAACGTTAAACCATGCCGCTAATTCCTGGGTAGTTTGACTAGGATCGGCTTCCACTATCTCTCTTAATTCATCGTTATTCACCTGTGTGGGAGGTCTACCTCGTGGCTCGTTCTTTAAGTCGAAATTTCCATCACGAAAGCGTTTAAACCAAAATCGCACGGTGCGTTCATTAGTAGACCCCTCTCCAAACGCAGCATTGATATTGCGGGCTGTTTCTGCCGCGTTAGTTCCGCGTCGGAACTCGTATTCAAAAATCACTCGAATTTTCGCAGTATCCATCTTTCTTGTCTAAATTGAATAACAAAAACAATTGAAAGTCGATATTCAAGTGTTTCAAATTTAAAAAAAAAAAAATCACAGAAACCATTTGAAAAAAGTTTCATTCGAAAACCTCAAACCATGAAGATTCTATGAAAATTCAAATACCTATTGCAATAAAACGGCAATTTCATACTTTAACCCCTAATATATACCCAACCCTTGACGTATGGTCCAACCATTTAACTTTTGACAGCTCGAATTTTAATCAATTAGCGATGTCCTAATGCGTTTCCGATTCGATTTTTTATAACAATCGATTTTATTTATAAAAAAGTTTAAATCGTGAATGCTAGCCGGTTCAAAAAAAGAAATGGTCTGATTGGGGTCGTGAAGTTGCGTTTGATAATTTGTGTACTCAAGAATCAATAATTAATGTTAGTGAGGTTTCAAGCGATGATTATCACTTGAAACCTCACTAACATTAATCCGTTCATATAAAGAATTCGACGACTCATTATAATGAACAATAAGAATTTATTATCATTATTAATAATTTATTTTATTTCATTATAATTTATTAAACAGGTAACAAAATTTATCAACTTGAACAGAACAGATTATGTTGAACAGATTATGTAACGAATATTATTTTATTCGTTACATGATCTGTTGGCTCGATAAATATCTGAGCCAAAGAGCACGTCGCTTCACTAAAATAAAAAATAAAGTCCAGGAAGTATTGCATTTTTTTGGTCTATGGTTGTATGTCAATAATTACGGCATTCGCTCTGGGCCTTTTGGAGGGAAAAGTGTCGTTTTTATTTTGACTTTCAATTATTTTGTAAAATCTAGTTTAAAGTGGAATAGGATAGTGCTATTGTGCCTTAATCCAAGATTAAAACGCGAAATTATACGAATCTCGAACTAAAATACCCGTATCGGCCCGTTTTTAGGAATCCCGAGTCAATCCAAACACGCCGCCTCAAATTGCCTATCCTCTTTGTGGCGGCCATATTTACAGAAACATAATTAAACTTCATGTTTAGGCTGATGGCTTTGCCAAAGCCTTAATAAATAAAAAAATAATAATTAATAATTACGGCACTTCGGAGGCATGCATATGTGAACAGTTAAATAAATTATTGGACGGAATATACGATTAATGTAATAGTCTAAATTTCTTGTAATTCAACTGAGTAAGATCCGCTTCGGAGGCATGCATATGTCAACAATTAATTAAATGATTGGACGGAATATACGATTAATGTAATAGTTTAAATTTCTTGTAATTCAACTGAGTAAGCTCCGCCTGTTGGTAGGTACGTATATTTACTGTTCGTTGAGTAAAAATGGTGAATCTGGTATTAAATAATAAGGTTGCCTGGTTCCCGAGTTTATTACTTCATATATACTTTTAATGTTAGCAAAGAGGAAAAGTAGAACTTGTTATTCTTAAATAACGTGGTATATGTACGGACCAGGCATAGATACACTGTGAAATTGCTAGTGTAGGTTACTCTATATTTATAGATACTTAGGTATCTCCACAAAAAATTGGAGCATCTATTGCTCGTGATGCACCTGTATGCACGCTACACTAACTTTTCAATGGTAACGAGTGCGCAAAACTGCCTAAATACTTGGCAAAGGAAATGTAAAATTTTATATTGAAGTGTAATTAGATAACAGTAGAAGGGATAATGAACTTGACGGATTAGATAGCAGATTTACCCTTAAATGTAACAGTATTATTATAATGAGTGTCAAAATTTAAAATAAATTGCCTTAAGACTTCAGGAACGTTAAGGATATTGTGACATTTAAAAGAAAATTATCTGCATAACTTGTAAATTAAACATTTAAGTCTAAGCTGAGTTTTTCAATCCCAATAAATAAGGTGACAATGGTAATTTTTTTTAATCAAAACTATTATAAATTCAAAATATACTCCCGGACACATAATTCGAGCCACCTCGCATTTTTATCGTAAAGAGCTAGAATACAAAAATAGTGTCATCATCGAAGAAAAAGTTTTCCCCCGGTTTTGCAAATTTTTTTTTATACATGACAGGCAAATGACTCCACTCCACCTGATGTTAAGTGGAAAGTAATACAATAATAAAATAATACCCAACAAGGACTTATGGAAAAGACGTTTCGTATACCTACTAGTTTCAAAATTGGATAATAGTTTTTGATCAATCAAACAAATGCGTGGTGGCTCGAATTATGTCTCCGAAACTGTATTTATTTGTCATTGAGTTACAATTATATGGACGTCGGGTCCGCGCTAAAAAGTGTCCGCACTTGTAAGGCGCTAAAATCGTATATAGAGCGCCAAACTCCGCTTTAGTCTTCATTTGTTCTACCGACAGCGCGATACTGCGATGACATTACAATTTAAATTTCGAATAGGTTGACTTGGGACATTTTTTTCGTGGTTTTTGTATTAGACCCGACGTCCATTTATTTGTAAGTCAATGTTATTTGTAGATTTTTTATAATCTGTATGCCTTGTGGCACAACCTACAGGGCTACTATAAATTTATTTATTACCGTGTATTTAACCCATCTACTTATTTTAGTGTTGTAACCTATGTTGACGAATAAATATATTTGGATTTAAATTGAATTGAGCACATCACTTACTCTTCGTATTTTTTCTTCTCTCATATCAATCTGCAAACGGCGAAGAATGCGGTGCGTCAGAAAGATAGTGCAACGACGGATATCCGGGCATTCAATGTTCACTGTACTGTTTACAACTGCTTCAGATAATGCCTCAACAGCTTCACCCCACTCCACTGCAAATTTGGTTTCCATATTAACAGATTTCATAAGTTTTGTAGTACCTGATGTTCTTTTACGTGTGCCGATCTGTCAAATTTGGTACTAGTCGAGTACGGTTAGTACGAAATTTTACAGATCTACGGACTGCGTTGTAATATAACTAAATGACTAATGGTGATTATTTCTAATATAACAAATCCTTGCAAGATTCATCTTCAGTTATTTTCATTGTATTGTACTCATATTATACAGGCGGTGATCATTATGAAAGAAAAACTTTTAATTTCATGTTCCTTCTAATACAATGTGCTTAGTTGGGCTTTCAGTGTCACTGATTCCGTGTTCCGGAAAAAAATCCAATCCTGGTGCGGTCTTGAAAATACAAGGGAAAACTTTTAGGATTATTTTTAAAGTAGGTCAGTCAAAACATAATATTTTAATAAAGTTCTTTAATACCACAAATTATTGAATAAGAAATAATTTATAAAACGATTTTTATAATGGGTACACAAGAATTATCACAGCTCTACAGTGTTACCTTGACCTTGTAAGAATGCCTATTGGTTTAATAGGTGATTATACTCCGTCCAACCATTTATTTAACTTTTGACATATGCATGCTTCCGAAGTTCCGTAATTATTGACATACAACCATAGACAAAAAATGCAATACTTCTGGACTCTTTTATTTTTTTAATTTTAGTGAAGCGACGCGCTCTTTAGCTCCGATATTTATCGAGCTAACAGATAATGTAACGAAGATTATTCAAGTTGACAAATTTTGGTATCTATCTAATAAATTATAATGAAATGAACTAAATTATAAATAATTATAATAAATTCTTCTTGTTTATTAAAATGAATCGTCGAAATCTTCTCCATGTGAACGGGAATCATCACTTGAATCCTCATTAACATTTATGATTAATTCTTGAGTACACAAATTGTGAAACGCAACATCACGATCCCAATCAGACAATATCTTTTTTTGAACCCGCTAACATTCACGATTAAAACTTCTTCATAGAATCGATTGTTATAAAAAAATCGAATCGCAAAAGCATTAGGCATCACTAATTGATTAGAATTCGAGCTGTCAAAAGGTAAATGGTTGGACGGAGTATAGTTAGATAAAAGCATACTAGCTCACCTTCCGACTATGAATTTTCTGTCCTAAACATTACTAATTGATCAGAACTCGAGCTGTCAAAAGTTAAATAAATAGTTGGACGGAGTATAATACTGTTTAATTAAGTCAAGTCTTAAAAGTTCCGATATTTTCGAAAATGAAAACAGCTTATTAATTTATTTCAACAAGTACTAAAAAAATTTTTACTCTCAAAATTTTCGACACTGAGATTCTCGGGATGAAAGCCCTACTAGTGCATAGGCATCTGATACTTACGTAGCAATCGGAAATATTACAAACAATTTATGTCCGTAAATATGATTTAGACCATCGGGCTATCCACTCACATCAGGGCCGTGTCCGTGCTAGTTTGTATGAACTCCGGACCCGTCTCGGCGCCGGCCCGGACACCGACATGTGTGAACGAGCCCATACTAAATCTACGCAGCGATATTATTTTGAGCCCCTGACGGGTCACAGTCCATCCATATCCCGAGCACGGCTCTGATGTGTGGGTTAGTCCTCATGGGCGCTTTCGGATTAAGACGCTTATTTAGAAGCGCACTGCAGTGGCGCTACTACTAATTTTCAAACAATATTTAGAAACGCAGTTGCAGCGTCATTGTTGTGACAAGCGCGCCAGTTTTGCAGTCACAATTAGCTAACTAAAAATTACAGAAGCACTACAGACGCGCGGCTGCAGCGCAAACAGTCGCACACTATGCACGTCTAATTTGAAAGTGCCCTAATAACAGCTAAAGTGAATGTAGTAGTAACAGCAGAGGACCTTGTGAAAGAGTTCGTCCAAGGAAATACACCTTAACTATTTCTGCCGCCAAGCAGTAATATGAGTTTTACTGCGTTCCGGTCTTGAAGGGTAAGGGTGCTGCTGAAATTATAGGCTCATGGGACTTGTCAACTTATGTTTCAGGGTGACAGGCGCAATGACCAGATCAGATCAGATCTTTGCGATTTAAAGCTCTGGGTGGCACTTAAGTGGTATTGCCAGGCATGTCGCTTACCATCAGGCGCACGATTTGTACGTCTCGTCACTTGACATTATAATATTAAAAAAAGAATTGGTTAGTCCAAGATCTTGATAGCTAAACTAATTAAAAAACTAAAAGACATTTTTGAGATTGAAAATGACTATAGAAGAAAGTAAATAAATTACTCGGATGTCTCTGATGTGGTAGTGTCACTTTTCCAATGGTTAGATCCATTCCCTTTTGGACGCGTTGACTCACATTTCTAGAGAGAATCTTTGCCGCTGTGTTCACCATCTAACAATGAAAGTTTTTCTTAGTGTTCGATCTTTGTACTGTATGGATAATAGTATATAGTTTTCAGGTGTAAGTGCTATTATTTGTACGTACAAATGCATTACAGTCGTTGTCCAAAACACTGGGTTAAAGTTACAAGAGTATTATTACCTCTAAAAGTTTTTTGCGTTCCGGCAAAGCTGAAGCCACAGTGACGGGATCTGGCAAGTCTTCAACCCGATCCGTGAAAGTGACTTCCGCCAATTTTGTCAAGGAGGGCTGTAATTACGAAATTTTGATTTTATGTAGGTATGTTAATTTTTTTCTTGGAAATTGTTTGGTGCCGGGCATTGATATGGGGAAGGTTACGTCTACGATCCGATTCCCCATTAAAACTATATTATGCAATATAGATACAAAGATTTTATTGCCGTAGGAAGGTCAAACATATCGAAGTCACAATAGAAATAGTATACCGAATAGGGTACAAACAAGACTAAACCTTGTACAAAATTAAAAGTATTTTTAACACATTCGCGCACAAAAAAAAATAGGCGCCTTGTCGTCGAGTTGCGGATACCAGCCCGTTGCATCAAGTACCAAGTACCAAGTAACACATTCGCGCGAGCTATTTACTATGCCGATCTAAATATTTGTAAGTGATGTAGAACAATGCACTGTTACGTCGCTTAATTTATTTCATTTCATCGATGACGTTCTATCTTAAAAGTTAACCATCGAGTATATAACCAGAAATAGAGACGTAATGTCATTTAATTTGTTTGAAAACTATTCTGTGAAATCATTACGGTGACAACTGCGCTCCGATTGGCCAGCCTGAATTCCATACAATTGACGGGTGTCGTCAATTATATTACATTAAATCGACCAGTTTAACTTGAGCTTTGCTATAATGGACGAAAATTGATAAACTACATATATCATATTTAATTACCGATGAAATGAGATTCCGTTTGTTTTGTAAATAGATGTTTTGCTGTTTTTCCCACACCACCGAATGGAACAGATCCCATTGTTGGAGATATTATCTTTATTACAATAAATACAGAATATTTTTAGAATCTACGGAGACGCACACACAGGTCAGTTGTTGGTGCTGTACTATTTCAGCTTTCTAATTTGTGATTTCAGCGCAAACGAGAGTTGATATTTAAAAGTAATATAAGGCCCATTTGCTTGATGAGTTGCCAGGGGTGGATGGCCTTTATTTTGTCTCTATTTCTGGTTGTATACTCGATGGTACCAAATAAACTACTTACACCAAAGAGATTTGAAATATGTCAATTATTTTAAACTAGCTGGTACCCGCGACTTCGTCTGCGTAGAATAAATACTTCGAGTAGCCTTTTGTACTACTAACTTGAGAAATGATTGGTTCTCCATAGAAACTTTTATCCCCTATTTCATCCCTTTGAAGACTTATTTTTGTGACAAAAAGTAGCCCATGTTCTTCTCCTAGGTCCCATTTATCTTTATATAACGAGACCATACGTCCCGCTTTGCGTGGGACAGTCCCGCTTTTAAGTTTCGTGTCCTGCTGTCCCCAAAATATTTAAAAATGTCCCGCGTCGACAAAAGAGGTCATACGTGATAATAATCATAAAAAAATGGTGCGAAAGGGTAGCAGCAAGTAAACCTTATCTCCCGCATCTTTTATTTAGTTACACATGCGTCTGTACTGCGTGTGCATTGGCAGGAAAGAATCTGTGACGTCATGTGCTGTGCTGCTTGTTTTTAAATTTTTTATCATTAAACATTTTAGGTCTTTTTTTAAAGTTCTTAGGTTTTCGCGATTGTACACATAGGAAATGAAACTATTTTTCCGTATTTAAATCGCGTATATTTGTTTGACCAAGCCAGTCAACCGTGACAATGGGACCTGTAAAGGGCCCGTAACGTTGGTTTGTTTAAAAAACAAATATACGCGGTTTTAATCCGGAAAAATAGTTTAATTTATTTCTTTTTATTTTTTTAATCATTAAACATTTTGTAACTATCATAAACATGTGTTTTATTATTAAAACAATAATAAATTTACAGGCCCTGAGGAAAAAAGAATGGCCACGTACTTTATTTTGGTTATTTCAAAATTCGTTCAAATTTCATTCAGCGGTTTCGGCGTGAAAACGTAACAGACAGAGTTAGTTTCGTATGTATTATATTAGTTTGGATGTACGCTGGGTATACTGTCTGAAGGACAGAATTTGGTCAGGTGAATTGAGAATTTTTCGTCAGTTAAAAATACTGAATGTGACATACCACGGGCGTAGGAGGCCTGTCTTTTGTACTTTTCAGATCATGATCGACAGACTCTTCTGGAGCGATGTGGGCGATATTACCAAATGCGATCGACTGGCCTCGTACAGTGGCATACTGTTGCGCAAGCGCGGTTGTCAGTTGCACCGACCATCGTGGTTGTTTTGAACTGTTTTATTAAATTAAAATTTAAGTATGAAATAATACTATTTTCTAATAGTCTAAGCTTAACAGTCGGTACTACCTCAGCTTGGATTTAATTTTTTCCTGTACTAATTCGGTTTATTTTGCTCGGGTCGAGCGGCAGGGACCCTGGCGTTCTTTCAGAATTAATTTACAAATGAAATTAAAGCCATTTGAAAAAGTATATCGTATAGTATACGTGTTCTAATTAGTTCAGTGGAAAAGTATAAAAAAAATCATTGGTATATGTAAAGTACCTATTTAATACAGCGGTTTTCTTGTAAATTGTGTTTCCTTTTTCTATAGTGAAAATTTTTAGGAACCGTGTTCTCTCACCGTATATTAATCAGTGTATATCATCAAAATTACTATGTATTATTTCTAACACTTTCACTGTTATGCGGAATAAATCAAAGCCATTTGAGGGAGTACAGACTCTTAAAAGCTATTTAAGTTTTATGGAAACATCGCGGTGCACGAAACGACCCTCTCCGCATGACGTACCACTTTTTTCTTGTATGTCTGCTGGCGCACCCCGGGCAACATTTGGCGAGTACCTTACGCCGATTGTCCAAAGGAAAATCCTTTTACTACCATGGCAAACATGTCCCACCGCTGAGCATTAAAGCCGGCTGTTTCATCACCTCACACCGTGTCCCGCATGCCCTAACACTTGACGTAGCCCAGTTCTGGGCCACAATAGTATAGCGTATTCCATGGATACGATAAGAAGACGGAAATATTTTTTTTCCATTTTGCATTATTTTACCATAATGATAACATAAATTATTAATTAATTGCAGACATTCACAATCCGTAATATTTGTTAGTAGAAACACTTATTAAGTGTTAGAATTTGCCATGTAGAAAGTAAGTCATTAATATTTATTATGACCAATAAATTAAAACATTAAAAATGTTATAGTTTTTGTTAGTTCAATGGTAACTATGTAGGTAACTTACGCTAACCGTTTGTGGGCAGAAGTTTCTTTGTCTACCCTGACAGTATTTCTTTAATTCATACATGTCAAGAGTCATTGCTAATTCACGACCTCAGTGGTCCTACGGTTTGCACTGTGGAAGTCTGGGTGGGAAGGTCCTAGATTCCCGGTAGGAGAAATTTACGAAATGAACTTTCTAAATTGGATCTGGCCTAAGTGTCCTGAAGTTCCCCAGAAGAATTCCGTTGCTCTGGTATTCATAATACAGGGAATTCCCTAGTTTGAGACTAGGAATTTTCGACTTCGGCGGCGATTCAACGGTTAGTACAGTGATTGCCAGAGGAGTAGGTCTCAGGTTCGATTGCGGATTACGTGTTATGGGTAAATACTAACCACACATCGATTTCGTTGCTCTCGTATTCATATAATTAAGAACTAAATAAATATTACAAAACATATGTACATTGCTCCGACTCCAAAGTGCTATGGATACAACGGCGGCGGTACCACAAACACCCAGAAATGAGTCAATATTATTATATTATGATAGAAAAGTTAGCTTTTCTACATTGACCCAGTCGGAGATCGAATCCGGGATCTCAGAGATGTCACATCACGTCAAATCAACTCACAGCAGGTACTCATAGTACAGAGAATTTTTTGGTTTGAGATCAGGTAATACTTTGAAACCGGTATTATACTGGATACATTACATTAAATACATTAAAACCGATTTTTTTAACAGTGAGATAATTTTCAGTGTTATAGCTAACCGTCGGCGGCCTGCATCTGACTGCCGAATGGTCTTAAAGAAGACTTCCTCGGCCTTATGTCGAACAGCTCGCTCCACATCTCTCAACAGGAGATGCACACGGCGCCGAGCGAATTCCAGCACAGCAGTTTCCAGAAGCTGAAAAAATAACACATTAGTATTCATGAAATTATGTTAGAATATTTTCTTTAAATGGAAGTCAACTAAGTTAGTGACTTTGGCAGAATGTCGTGTGATTTAGAATGGTTACACACGTCGACTTTTAGAAGCGATGCAAACGAGCGATTATATAGGCAACTGCATTGGTGCAAACATGCTATACTTGGGATTCAAAGGAGATTTCATTGATGCAATCGCGCGCTTGTATCGATGCAGTCGCGCTGCGCGCGCGCGCGCTTGTGTGTGTGTGTGTGTGTGTGTGTGTGCGTGTGTGTGTGTGTGTGTGTGTGTGTGTGTGTGGGGGGGGGGGTGTGTGGGTGTGTGTGTGTGTGTATGTGTGTTTGTTTGTTTATGTGTGTGTGTAAGTGTGTGTGCGCGCGTGCGTGCGTGTTCAATCTTTGTATTAATAATTATATCAAACTAAGCAGGTAGTGGAGTACTTTCACAAAAAATAAATGAACAATATGGTAGTACGTCATGATATTCAATTAAAATCAACAGAATGCAGTATGTTACGAAAATGTCAATGGGTTGAACTGTAAAACAACCAGTTTTTTTAATTAAAAGAAACAGTTTATCTTAGGATGCGTTCTGAATTTAGTTAGTTCTGAATTATTTGAACACCTCATCAATTTTTATTCTTGCTTGTACTTTTATTTTGTGTGATTAAGGGTTTATTGAAATTATTTTACTTCTTTGACGTATTAAAAATAATTTAATAAACACAATTAGTTATCATTGTCAATTTAATATCAACAATAAAGAGAATAAAATATACCAACGGATTTATATTACATAAATAAGTAATGTACGACAAATCGTGTAGTTGAATGTGTCATTATCTTTTTTTTCATCGAAAGAAAAAGTTAGGTGCACCACAGCCCACCGATCGTCAAGTTCGAATTTCAAAAACATTTTCTACGCTAGCGTGCAACAAACGCTTTTGCCTGCAGATTTCTGTTGAGAAAGAAAGCCTTTCCGAGCTAGTAAGGTGAAAAATATTTTTATGCATCCAAATATTATTATTGTCATGTACAAGAAATATTTAATTATAATTTTCTTTTATACATGAAAATTGCAATCAAATATAAAATAATTACGTACGTAGTATAAAGTATATTACTTTAAAAAAAATGTAATGTGCGTTATATAACTTTAAGCAAGTTAGCGCATTGCATCGGACTTAGTGCACAAGCGACATCCGAAGTGGGTCCGAGTTTTTTAGATTTGTGTAGCCTCATATGAGTATTGGTAGCAAATCTTTTTATCAGTTCCTCCCTAATCATAACCCAATCTAACAGCGTAGTAAGTTTACCTGTTCAAGCAGCCGCACAGGCGGCGATGGCAATATGGTTTCTATGTCCATCCTGGCACGGGCCTGTCCCAACGTCGTTAGGGCATCTCCCGCAGTGGACATGGCGTTGGACATCGCCTCTGCAGCTATCTTTTGAGCAAATTCTGGACACATGCCCTTGGCGCCACGTTTGGACTTCATGGAACAAGATTATTCAATATTATTTGTGAATTGGTTATGGAAAGTCACTTCAGTATAAAAGGCCTAGTGTCACATTATAGAATTAAGAATCTTTTTTTAAATATTCAGTATTAAAAATATAACGAACGTTCGTTGTTTCAATATTACAGTCAATGTCAAGATTACAACGAAATTGTCTTTCAATTCAAAGTGTACCTTATATTCCCTTGGATAGAATAAGGTTAATTTTTATCAAATGAAGCACGGTCGGATTATACGGTTTGTACACGATAGAAAAATATTTATTTGTTATGCAAAGCTGCAAAGTTGTTGTTTGACGCGTGTGCTTGTGTTGAAATATGAGCAAACGAAGGACGTTAAGATTAAAATAAAAAATAGATTCCTGAGCGTAGCGATGGTTTCAAGCCACGAGACGCAAAACAATTTTGCTGCTCAGTGAAACATACAACTTTTCACTTCACTGTAGCGAGGAAAATGGTAGATGAACGGAAAACAGTTAACCTATAATAAAATACAAGTTTTTTTAATTAAAAGAAAAAGTTTATCTTCTGTAGCGATCTGAATTTTTTTTGTAATTTATTCAATTTCAAAACAAATTTTATAAAAAACAACGATTCTTTATCGCTAGGTAAAGAACTTAGTGGTTTAATCACTTAGCGATGAGCTATCAATTAGTTATTATTATTATCTATTTACACCCCATCGATTTTTATTCCTGCTTGTAGGTACTTTTACTTTGTAAAAAATTGTGTTTGTTAGTTTATTAATTTAATAAACACAATTAGTTATCATAGTCAATTTAATGTCAACAATAATAAGAATAAAATATACCAACGGATTTATATTACATAAATAAGTAATGTGCGACAAATCGCGTAGTTGAATGTGTCATCTTTATTTTTCATTGAAAAAAATTGTTAGGTAGGTTGGGTAGACTGTAGTTCAGTTCCATTGTCAAGACCGAATTTGAAAAACCTTTTCCACGCTAACGTGCAAAAAACGCTTTTGCGCGCAGATTTCTAATGAGAAAGAAAGCCTTTCCGAGCTTGGTGAAAAATATATATTTCTTTTATAAGCAGTGACCATAACTATATATAATAACTATACAATAACTAACTAACTATATAATAAAATATAGGCATATATTAAAATTATTTGTAGTACACACAGGCACACCTGAAAATAAATCTAAAACAATGTAACTCAGACCTTTTCGAATTCGATGCCCATTTTCTTAATGAGTTGTTGTTTCTTCTTCGAGCCGCCGTGTAGTTCTTTCCAGTTAGCCAGTCTGATTCGCTGCAGTGCTAGATCAGTGTTGTATGCGTAGATTTCTGCTCTCCTATTAACAAACCAAATGCAATATAATCACTTGCAATCGTTCCCAATAAGTTTATTTCAATTAGTCATATTTTCATTTTCCGGACATGGCATAAAATGACAGCTTTCTTATATTTCATAACATCAAGTGATGGGACAAACAAATTGTGCGCCTGGTAGTAAGCGACACGCTCGTCCATGATAGTTCCAATACCACTCAGAGCTCTACGGCTGAATTTATATTACGGTGGAACGGAATGGAAGCAAATTTTTGTAACGGTATTGTACATAGCATAATGAACTTTATGGTCAATTGTGAAACGTACAAACTAGATATGAGCCAATCTTATAATAAAAGTCTTCCTCGGAATTCTCGCGCATACTTTCGCTTCCATTCCGTTCGGCTGCACTATATGTAAGTTGAGCCTAAATAGTAAAGATTTGTTTTTCATATCATTTTGTTTTGTTTCTAATTACAGGTCTACCGCTTTACTGAGTTGTTTCTGAGGTAGTTGCTTTTTAGTTTACGTAACAGGTATGTTCCGCGGGATAATTTCAACAAGATTTTTGTGATGATATTCAATAGCAAGTTGATTGAAAAAAGTGTCTATCAAATTAGTCAATTGTTGTTGTGTGAAACGATAATAAAAGAAAACTATTTTATTGATAATTGAGATGAATGACAAGTCGTTTGGTACCTTTTTCATCCAACTTGTTATTGTCAGAGACGAAATGTCGAAATTATCCCGTGTGCAGCGAGACATAACTGTTACATACACTGTCACTCCTGCACCGCGCAGCTACTTCAGGATTCAGTTAACAGTCTATACAACCTCAAATGGCTTTGTTCGATTCCACATATCAGTGAAAGTGTTGCATCAATCACTTTGGAAAAAATATATAGTAATTTTGAGGATATGCACAGATTCCTATATGGTAAGAACACACGATTCGTTAAAATTTTCACTATAGAAAAAAAAAACAAATTTACCCATTGACTTACAAATAAATGGACGACGGGTCTAATACAAAAACCACGAAAAAAATGTCCCAAGTCAACCTATTCGAAATTTAAATTGTAATGTCATCGCAGTATCGCGCTGTCAGTAGAACAAATGAAGACTAAAGCGGAGTGTCGCGCTCTGTATACGATTTTAGCGCCTTACAAGTGCGGACACTTTTTAGCGCGGACCCGACGTCCATATAATTGTAAGTCAATGAATTTACCTCGAAATTTTACAATAAAAAACCGCTGTATTCGATAGGTACTTTACATAAATACCAATGAGCTTTTTTTTGTACCTATCGATTGAACGAAATAGAACACGTGTACTATACGATATACATATTTCAAACGGCTTTCGTTTGTAAAAAAAATAATTCGGAAATAAAGCCAGAGCCTTGCCGCTCGACCGTAAATGAACCTTATAAGTATGGGAAAAATTCGAATTCGAGTTGAGATAGTATCGACTCTTAAGCGGAAGGCCAGTATTTGTCCAACACCGACGATATCAAAAATGTTGTTTAATTGTTAACAGAGATTAAATACTTAAATTTAATACACTGATATTTTTGTGTGTTTTTTTAATAATGTATTTTATTTACTCATGTGCTTCATTTCCAAACAAGAATGATTAATGCAAACTGAATTGTGCAACATGATCTATGCTATAAGTGTTTCTAATTATATAGCCATTAGTCTATGTATTGTAAATAAGTAGAGGATCAAAACAAACTTTCGTCTTCTCGTAGCTCCGGCAGCAAGGTCCTCAGTGTACAGTTTTAGAAGGATGCGTTCTTCTTGAATCTTCTGATTCTGCCCTGAGACTCTCTGCTCCCACTTCCTATTCGCCTGTTGATCAACATTATGATAAATTTCATAAATTTAAGTGATGTAGAGAGATTATGTACAATGAAGTACAGTATATCGGCTACTTATGTTTTAGGAAAATTTTATTTACAGTCTTGAATATAGGTTTAACTTTTTTCGGGTATTCTGTCATAAATACATATGACTCGTCCTATAGATTGAGTTCTTAGGTTTTCGCGATTGTTACACATAGGAAAGGACCAATCGTGACCATGGGACCTGTAAAGGGCCCGAAACGTTGGTTTGTTTGAAAAAACAAATATACGCGATTTAAATCCGGAAAAATATTTCATTGTCCCACAGAGTTTTATAGTTTGAGACCAGGATAGGTAACGATGATGACCGTGTCATTGTTAGATAACATCGAGTATATAACCAGAAACCAGCACCAACAACTGACCTGTGTGTACGTCTCCGTAAATTCCAAAATATTCTGTTTTTATTGTAATAAAGATAAATCTCTAACAATGAGGCTATTCTATTCGGTAGTGTGGGAAAACAGCAAAACATCTAATTACAAAACAAAGGGAATCACATTTCATCGGTAATTAAATATGTAATTTAGAAATTTACGTCTATTATAGTAAAGCCAAAGTTAAACTAGTCGATTTGAAGTGAAACAATTGACGACACCCATCAATTGTTTCGAATTCGGGCTGGCCAATCGGAGCGCAGTTGTCACAGTAATGATTTAGCAGAATAATTTTCAAACAAATTAAATTACATTTCGTCTCTATTTCTGGTTATATACTCGATGTTAGACACAATTCAATTCAACCTTCGAAAAGAGAAAGAGTTAAATTATGAGTTTTTTATACTCATTTCAACATTTCGTTTGCTTACCTCGTCTTGCAAGCGTTTAGTTTTTGCCTCCTTCTCTGCATTTACCCGGTTTATTCGCCTTTTCTCGTTCTGCCTCCACTGTCGCACCATGGTGATTTTGCGTCGCAGTTCCATTTCTGCCGCAGCTTGTACTCTTTGCTTTATTCTGGAGCACATAAAGGTAATATGTCACAGTAATCGACATTATGCCTACATACATGCTTTGCCATAAAACATATTTCCTTAACAATCATCGTCGTGGGTCACTATGACTTAACCTTCAGTACAAAAATGTTACTATGTGTTCGAACAACGCTACGTCTTCCTTGGCGCTTGAGATTTAAATTCAAACTATAATAGAAATAAAATTATAACAATATTGATATTCAGTATAGGTTGCACACTTAACGGATTTGGTATACCAATAGTGAGGTCAAAGGTTGTACAGTGGTTGTACACTTAGCAGACTTGGTGGGCAGAGTTTCAACTCACGAGACGCAAAACAACTTTGCTGCCGAGTGAAACACACAACTTTTCACCTTACTAAGGCGACAAAAATGGAAGATGAAAAAAAAAACAGTTGATCTATAAAATATCAGTTTTTTAATTAAAAGAAAAAGCTTAGTTTATCTTCGGATGTATTCTGAATTCACACCTCATCAATTTTTATTCTGGCTTATGCTTTTATTTTGTGTGATTACGTGATTATTGAAATTATTTTAGTTCTCCGGCGAATTGAAATAATTTGTTAATCACAATTAGTTATCATTGTCAATTTAATGTCAACAATAATAAGAGTAAAATATACCAACGGATTTATATTATGGAAATAAGTAATGTACGACTAATCGCGTAGTTAAAAGTGTCATCGAAAGAAAAACTAAGGTGCACCACACAGTCCAGAGTCCAGTTCGAATTTCAAAAACTTTTTCCACACTAGTGTGCAAAATACGCTTTTGCGCGCAGATTTCTAATGAGAAAGCCTTTCCGAGCTAGTGAGGTGAAAAAAATATATTATTAAATTAAATAAATATGAGAGAGATAAATATGAGTATATGAGTTTAACTTATTCAGATAAAGATGCTTCAAGTCACATTTGCTAACTTAATATAGTTAAGAGTCTAGAAGAATTAAAAGTATTTCTTTCTTTGGATACTAAAAATATATAGTGATATACCTTTCTTCTGCTTCCTGAGCCTTAGCAGCCCTTTCTTGGCGCCGTTTTTCATTGAACTGTGCCAAATATTTCATCCTAGCTTTAATTTTATTTTCTTGCTCTTTTGCTCTGTAACAATAGATATATTTATTTTAGTATGTTATTGTTATTTGAAATGTCAATGAACAGACAAATTCATCGTCGAACTTAGATTCTCCCGAAAACACAAAATCGTTCGTTTACGAAATTATCGTTAATGCATAACATTACTTGTAAGAAATTTGATAAGTGTAACTGTTAATTTTGCATATAATTGTATTTATGTGGTTTTTTCTTTTCTTTTATGATATCAAGTGACGGGACGAGCAGGTTATGCGCTTGATGGTAAGCTACACGCCTGTCCATAACAGATGCAGTGCTACTCAGAGTTTTAAGTCGCAAAGATCTGAGGGGCACTGCCACTGCGCCTGTCGCCCTGAGTCATAAGTTGACAAGTCTCATGTGCCTGTAATTTCACCAGCGCCCCTTAAAAAATCGGAACACAGTAATGCTGACATTACTGCTTGGCGGCACAAACAGGTAAGGTGGCAGTAGGTACTTCCCTGGACGAACTATTTGACAAGGAGCTCTACGGCTACTAATTTACAATATAGTGATATTTATAATATTGACGTAAAATAAATAACTTCTAGTGAAACATATAAACATATTTAGAACAATCGTCCTGAGAAATGTGTTTTAAGGATTCTTTATTCTTAAAATATTAAATGACACATGCATTCAAATATCTTTCCAACTACTCTCTTATTTATTACTATCTATTTGTATACTATTATTATCAATTTATACAGGATGTAATCGTTAAGCGTGCTCAGGCGATTATTCCATAAATATAAGAGATATCAAAAGGCTTTAAACTGATATCGAAAGTACGTTACCTAATGAGTAAATTGACCTCAATAACTTTTTAAATATAAAAGTGGACATATCCAAAATTTTCACCTTAAACGCTCCCATGCATTCAATATGACATTCGCAGAGAGGCTTTAGCTGACCTACTTTAAGAGGTCACAGTAGGTTTACGGATAACAAAACAGCTAATAAATAAAGTAATAAAATTATCTTTTAATTGAATAAAAATATAATTGCAATTAGGTCAAATGTGAGTTGTCCTTAAAAATGAATAAAATTGATCAAATTTTTTTTTGTTTTGTATTTGTATTTTTGTATTACATTGTATAAGACGAAAAACACCGGGACAAAAAAGTTGGTCCACCTGAATATACCTATCATGATTTTTCAGATCATTCTTTAAAAAATCCTTTAGAATGTTTAAACAAAACAGGTAATAAAACGAATGAATGAATGTAATTTTCTTTATTGCTCATTGTAAAAGAGTTGTGAACCTTCTTAGACATGCAGGTTTCATCACGATGTTTTCCTTCATCGAAGGGCTCATGGTGAAATTCAAATTAAATTTCGCACATAAATTCCGAGAAACTCAGGTGTGCGAGCTCGGATTAGAACCCGCGGTCTCTGCTTGAGAGGCCGGTAAGTTAACCCATTGTTCTACCACGGTTTTATGTAAGTAAGCAGCAAGACCCATAGGTAATCTGGTAAATTAATGTATGTTAGGGCGATGCAACTAAAGAAAATAATACTAATAAAAATATATGTAACAAGCTATATGTGTTATGTAAGTTGGCAGGTATACCTACTAGCTAGCTACCTACTATAGTTCCTTTGGAAAAGGACCTCTAGTCTTATAAGAATTACTGGAGATCGTTTTCCATTTACTTTGTAAGTACTATAGGTCCTTTACCAAAGGAACTCGAGCAAAAGCAATTAACATTTTTGGCCAGAAAAACACAGCGACATTAAAAACCATTTAAGTGTGCACGTAAAAACGTGGCACTACCACACTCCACAAGGGTCCCTTTAATTAAACCTTTCTAGGTTTTGAATCACACGACGGCAACTGTGTTTCATTCAATTTTATTTACCGTCAGAAAATGTTAATGTGATATGTTTTCTTATTTTTATGATTATAATATAATACTATATATAAGACTTCTTAATCAAAAAATATTTTCAAAATATATAAATTCCCATTAGAAAGAAAATGTAATACAAAATTTAATGTACTTACAGCTAACAGGTCATACTCGTAAGAAGTACTGATCAGTTAGTTTATATATCCACATTCTAAAAAACTTTTTTTAACAATCGGTCTAAACCTTTTCAAATATTTACAGTATTGTTTATAATTACGAGAAACAACGGTTCTTCGTGGCTCTGTATACAAACAAATCTGTCTAAGCGTAATATAACAAACCTATTCAATGTTGTTAAAACTAACTGGTTCTACCAAAATACGCTAGATGGCGTTGTTTGATTTCAAGGTAATGTACCTACTCGATAGGTGACTCCGACCGAATTATGCCGTCCATTAACCAAAACGCGACTAGATGGCAAATGATCAAATATCCGTCTTAAATAGCAAAAGAGCACAACATTCTCTTTTAAATACAGTTAAAATTAGTTAACGTGTTCAACTTATTGGAACTTACCCTAACAATGCATAGCTCAAATATCATTAAACTATTTCAATATTCTAAAACTGAGTTATGGTCTTTTATGATATCTCAAAAAAAATATTTTAGCCCCGTAAAAATATTTTGTTAGTTAGAGGACGGCAGAATTGTAATAGAGTCCAGTGACGTTCTGAGCCCAGGTCAATTGTACACTTAGATGCCTTTGGTTCAGTTACTTAGCTTGTAATACGTCATAAGAGCCTTCAGCTCGACGTTTTGCTCGACCATCAGCAGGCAACTGCTACATATTAAAAAAAAATGAAATTACATGTGATGTATCTGATTGCAGATTTCGTACTTACTTTCGCAAATTGCGTTAAAGATTCTGCGGCTCTCGTTCTAATAGGAAAATATGTTGATAATTTACCTAAAACATTGTAAATTTCAAACACAACAACCCAAATCGAACTTTGACTCGATTGTATGAAGTTAGCTAAACGCCCGGCACATTTACAAACATAATTTTCACAGTTCAATAGAACAAATGAAGAGTCAGCTACGTACGAGAGGTCAACAAACAACATCTCGCCTCGAATGCAAATATCGGCATACATATTGAGTTTTAGGATTCAAAGCGCTAACTGTTCAAAATGCCTAGTGCGTAGAGCATTGCACTCTATGACAAAATTTCGCTAGATGTGTGATAACTAAGTGTTAATTTTTGGCTTGAAATAAACATGTTCATCAAAAACGTTTTTTATTACTTTTAGGATGAAGTTAGCAAATACTGGAAAACTCTTCATACTAAATTACTTGATGATGGAAGTAATGGTGCATCAATGGCGACACACAGTTTATCGGTGCGAAGCGCTGTCGGCATCACTTAATTAACCCCATTAGAAGGTACTATTATCGTCAATAAGCACAGTCACCGCAATTAGATTTATCATCTTCAGGTTACCTTGAAACATGAAAACACTGGCAAAATTGCTTATACCAATCTAATATGGGTTGGCAAAAGAATCCGTGCAATTTTTGCCACTAGGTAACTTTAAGCAAAAAGTAACTTTTTCCTTTTAAAATATTATATTGTGTATAATAATATTTTAGATAGTTATTACTTAAGCGTTTTAAGAATAGCATGGAAAGTATTAATCGTAAAAGTGTTGTAGATGATGTGCCAAACCACACACATTATTACAAAGTAGTCAAAAACTATTGTTGCCAACAATAAATAGCCCCTTCAGATTTTCGCTTGGTTCGCCCTGTACAAAATTCTTTGGATGGATGCTACTTTGATGACGAAGAGAATACAAAATGACATTTAGAGGTGCACTTTATAAGTAAAAACAAAAATTATTAAATCTGAGAATGGCCTGGAATTCTAAAATTACACGAAGGATGGCAAAAGATATTAAATCAGCAAATGCAAATCATGGCAAATATATAATTGATTAAAGTTCACATATTTTTTTAAAGTTTCAATTTTTATAATGAATTTTGACATGATTTTATCGCTGACTTTTGGCCAACCCAATATTAAAAAACTACTTTTTTCTAACTTAGAATTCTGAGCGTAGCGAGGGTTGCATCGCACGAAACGCAAAACAATTTTGCTGTCGAACGCAACACACAACTTTTCACATTACTATAGCGATGAAAATAATAGATGAAAAAAAAAAACAGTTGTCAACTTAAATCAACAATAATAAGAATAACATATACCAATGGATGGATTACTAATAAAAAATCGCGTGACATTTTTTTTTCATCGAAAGAAAAAGTTAGGTGCACCACAGTCCATCGCCAAGTTCGAATTCCAAAATCCTTTTCCATGTTAGCGTGGAAAAAACGCTTTTACGCGCAGATTTCTAATCATAAAGAAATTCTTTCTGAGCTAGTGAGATGAAAATAATATTACTTGTCAATCTTTTCTTCTTCCTTTTTTTTATTATAATAACTTTCTCAAAAAGTAAAGGGAAATCTTTACAGGGCTTTTATGGTTTTCGAGGTTTGAGGTAGGTTTAATTTATTTTGTGGTTTTTATCTTGGGTACTTTGGTCTTCGTGTGATATACAACCGTGTTAATAGATCCTTTCACCCTTGTTCTTCATATTCTGCAGTTGCATTCAAACTGATCAACAAGTCCTTGTATACTGAAGTTACGCGTTCAAGTTTGTATTCGCTTAACCTATTTAGACGCTCGGACCCTACTAGATGCTCTTCAGCTATGCAGTTGCCAAATACCAGTCAAATTCTCTTCGTAGTGCAAATACGGGACACAAACTTTCACCCATATATCAAAACTTAATCAAATGCTTTGAGTAACTTCGATTCTAAGAGAATGAATAATTACGAAACAAATTATTCTTATCCCATTCGGTTTGCATCAGTCTATAAAAGGGAAACGTGTGAAGGAATGCGCTGCGCCCGCACGGACGCATGCAGTTAAGAGTCTATATAACCTCAAATGGTTTTGATTCCGCATAACAGCGAAAGTGTTGAATCAATCAGTTTGGAAAAAATATACACTATTACCTAATAATAACTCAAGTACAGAGTACTAAAAAAATCGACCTCAAAAGTTCGTCGAAT